AAAGCAGCTCTTAGAATTCATCTTGGACAATTACAGCTACCTTTTCTTGCTTTACCCTCATTAAATTATGCTCTAAAATATAATGGAAACACTCTTAAATTTTCCCAAAACAGTCTGCTCTTTCTCCTTTCCCTTCTCAGGATGAGCAGGGTACATTTTTAGTGGTGGCTAAGCTGATTTTTGGAGATGAGCCTGTAACATGTAAACTTCCATAGCCAACATTTAATTTTGTGATGGAAATATATCTCATGAAAAAAGCAGCAATGCTTTGGCAGCTTCATGGGAAGAGGAAGGAGAGGCGGATGGAAGCAGACAGAAGGGTAAAAGGGAAGGATTTTTCTTTCAAATACCATTGCCAGTAAATACAGGGATCCTGTTTCACTAATTTGTGTTTTCTACTGTGCTGTGATGGGCTTTCTCCCTGAAGGGTGACGGAGATCCAGGATATGTTCGGTGGATTGCGGTGACAGGCTACCCTTAGTATCGGTCTTGAGGAAGGGATTAATGAAACCTGCTGCTCTAACGAACACCTGCCAATGTTTATTTGCTCACTAACCCTTGAAATGATACATGCAGATTTTCAGGTGTTGAACTAAAGCCTTTGATGAGCAGCCATCAGCTCTGGTAATCTGGCTGCTATAAAATGAATTCTATTTTGGCTCCAAGTACAAATGCTAGTGTGGTGCATGCTCTGAGCACAGCCAGCCTCAAGGAGGGGATGGACAAAGGAAGCTGGTGGTCAGGCAGAAATTACTTGAAATGAAGCTGTTTTTTATGTTTTCCCAGCACAATACCTCAGAAAAGATCAGAAATTAGCCTTGCTTATTTACTGTTTAATTTCTTTTTTCTTTCCCTGGCGACTATTTGATACCTGCCAGGACTACTGCTGCCTGCCACAAAACCTCATCTTCCCAAGGACACCAGGTCTGAAGTCCCAAGAAGATTTACCATTTTTCTTCTGAACATGGGCACATCAGCACAGTACCCAGCAGTAGCATGTCCTGGTGCCCAAATACTGAGATGTTTTCATGAAATGCTGGTTTCGTGTTGCACAAATCCCAGGAATCAACCCAAAGACTCTGGAAATGTCCAGGAGAGAAGCCCAGCAGAGCACACCACCTTCCTTCAGCTTCAGCCTTGCAATACACAGAGGACTAGGCTAAACACAAGCTCGACCCCATGTTTATGAAAAGGGCTTCAATTTGACAACAGCCTTGGGGGTGGCATTAACTTTCCAGAAGGACTTATTTTTATTGCTGATAGGTCACATGTTGCACAACTTAGGATGGTCTTCCAAAAGATTTATTTTCCATTTATTTTCCACTGTGAAACATAGCTCTGTGGCTGTTACTATGGCTGTTACAACATATGGAAGAGTGGTGCTTAGGGCATTTGCCTGTGGCTAGAGCATATATTTTTTCAGTAAACTTAAATGTTGACAGTCTTTCAAATTCATAACCATATTACATGACAAAATGGGTTCCTTTTATTCAGATCTGTTCCTTTGCATTCTCATCCAACTCAGTTGTGTTCAAATGGCACTTTATTTTGCCTTTTTGTCTTGTATATGGGGCTGTCTCAGCCTCTTCAATTTATGTCCGTTCCATGTCCATAAACATCCCTGGTGGTCAGGAACTTGGAAATCAAGAAGTAACCATTAAGCATGCTACAGTATGTGTTTAGTTTGTGTCTGTTAAGTATCTGAGGGGAGGATGTAAAGAGGATGGGGCCAAACTCTTCTGGGTGGTGGCCAGTTATAGGACAAGGGGTAACGGGTACAAGTTGAAACACAGGAAGTTCCACCTCCATGTGAGGAAGAACTTCTTTCCTGTGAGGGTGACAGAGCCCTGGAACAGGCTGCCCAGAGAGGTTGTGGAGTCTCCTTCTCTGGAGATCTTCCAAATCCGCCTGGATGCCACCCTGTGCCACGTGCTCTGGGTGTCCCTGCTGGAGCAGGGGGGTTGGACTGGATGATCTCTAGAGGTCCCTTCCAACCTCAACCATTCTGGGGTTCTGTGATCTGCTTATTTACCTCTGCAGTGAAGTCTGGATTCAGCTCTTCAAAAGTTCTGTGGAAAATAAAACACCAAAACCTCAACCTTACTCAAAACTGGCTTCCATTGCATAGCATTTTCTTTTTAATCCCACATGAATTACATATTACCCTGTTTTCTCTGAAGCATTTAAAGGCCATTCTCCTGAATGAAGAGGTATCACTTACACCAGCTCTCAAACTTCTGCTCCCCGTTTCATCAGCTGTAAAGCTATTCTAAAACACATTCCAACAATTACTTCATAATGGAAACAATATAGGTCCCCCCAGCCCCCTTCCTCATACCGTGCTGGAACACAGATTTTCTTTTGTGACTCAAAATGACGTTTAGGCAGATTTCTAGTATTGCTGTCATCATTCTAAAATTACTTTAGGTTTTATTTGCTGCGCCGCAGCAATTGCAGGAGTTCTTTACATCACAGACGCTCTCATGGCGCCTCACTATTTTCAGGTATACTTTTCACAGTAGCTGTGAAGGGCCAGAATGCACTACTTTCTTTCCCTAATCTAGCAAAAGAGATTTATCCATCATGACTACGAAGGCAATGGCAGAAGCAATGAAAGAATCTAGATCTATCTATAACTTCTCTAGCAAGTCATATGAGCTCTTTTGCCTTTCCAATAGACTCATCCTTAGTTCTTACATGCCACAAAAATTTATTGCTGAAAGGTTCAGTTATCCAACAAACTCCCTGTACTAGTTTGACAAATTCTTTTTCCAAGCAATGGATGAAAGAGGAAGGCACCAGAAATCTTATATGATCACATAAGGAAAACTATTACAGCAAATCAACACAAACAATAGTCAGAAATAACTATAGGCTTTCTCAGGCAATGTTCTGCAAGGAGCAGTGCCCAGCAGGAGAGAGTACTGGGATGAGATGGATTATACTGCAACATCCTTCCATACTAGTGCAAAAATGACTCTCAGACCAGCTGGGGAATTTGGAACTGAATCTAGGGGAATAGGGGATTCAGACACCATTCGCACCATTTAACTTGCAGTGGATATAGGTGGCTATAATATAATACAAGCGTATGCACACAAATAAGAAGGTCCTGAGAGGACAACATTAGAAGGAAGGTCCTCACACCCTTTCTGGGAAACCAGCATGCCTAGATGTTTCTCTGAGGTACTGTATGTTGATGCATGCAGGAAGGGGAACCAACGGGAGGAATTAGAGTCTGCATGTACTATGTAGTTGCACGGTTATGATCTCACTGGGGTCACAGAGATGTAGTGGGAGAGTTCACACAGCTGGAGTGCTGCAGTGGATGGATACAGGCTCTCAGGAAGGACAGGTCAGGAAGACAGGCCGGGGGCAGCGTCGCTTAATGTGAAAGAACAGCAGGAACGCATGGAGCGGGGGACAGGTGAGGGGCCAGCTGAGAGCTTGTGGGTCGGGATTAGTGAGCAGACTAAGATAGGTGACATGGCAATGGGTGTCTGCTACAGACCATTTGATCAGGAAGAAGCAGGTGAGACCTTTTTCAGACAGAAGAAGCCTCATGTTTGCAGGTCCTTATCCCAATGGTAACACAACTGACCACAAACAATCCAGAAGATTACTGGAGTGCACTAGTGACAACTTGCTAACACAGGCAGTCAAGGAGGTGATAAGGGGAGAAACTCTGCTGGATCTCATGTTTACAAACAAAGTTTGTAAAGATTGGTGAAGGTCAGGGCAACGCTGGTGATGAGATAGTGAAGTTCAGTATCCTGAGGGAGGAAAACAAGGCAAATAGTGGTACCACAATCCTGGACTTCAAGATAGCAGATTTGAGCAGTTCAGGATCCTGTTTAGGAGAATCTCATAAGAGATTGTCCTGGAGAGAAAAGGGATCCAGGAGAGCTGGCTGATTTTCGAGGAACACCTCCCTGTTCAAGAAGATCCATTCCAACATGCAGGACATCAAACAAAGGTGGCAGGAAGCTTGCATGGATGAGGAAGGAGCTCCTGTCTTAAATGCAATAAGAAGCATACAGGAGGTGGAAGCAGGGACAAACAACTCAGGGCTAATAGTGACACTCACTGCCTGGCCATGTGGGGATGGGGTTAGGAAAGCCAAAGACCACCTGAAGTTGTATCTAGAATGGAACGCAAAGGGTAACAAGAAAGGCATGTACAGGCATATCTACAGCAAGAGGAATGCTAGGGAATACTGGCCCACTGCTGGATGGTGTAGGTGACCTGATGACAAAGGACATGGAAAAGTCCAAGGTACTCAGCACCTTTGCTTTGGTCTTTGCTGCTAAGCCTGGCCTTTAAGAATCCCTGGCTTCTGAGACCGGTAGGAAGCTGTGGGTAAGGAATATTTAACCTTGGTAGAGGAGGATCAGTCAGCTAAGGGAATATTTAAACAGACTGGGTATACAAAAATGTATGAGACCTGATGGGATGCATCCACACATGCTGAGGAAGTTGTTCCATGTCATTGTGAGGCCACTCCTGATTACCTCTGAAAAATCTTAGCAGCTGGGGGAAAGTGTCTGAGGACTGGGAGAAAGCAAATGTTATTCCCATCTTCAAGAAAGTGCAAGAAAGAGGATCTGCAAGATCAGTCAGCCTCACATTGATCTTCGGGACAGTGATGGAGCAACTCATCCTGGAAGCTATTTTCAAACACATGAAGGATAAGAAAGTGATTGGAAGCAGACAGCATGAATTTGTGAAAGTGAAATCATGCCTGACAACCTGATAACATTCTACAATGAGTCAACTGGCTCCATGGATGAGGGGAGAGGAATGGATACTGCTTATCTTGGCTTTAGCAAGATTTTTGATCTTGTCTCCCATAACATTCTCATAGAAAAACTGATGAAGCAGAGTCTAGATAAATGTGCAGTGAGGTTGTATGAAAACTGACTAAACTTGCTGGCTCAGGGACTTGTGATCAGCAGCTCCAAGTCCAGCTGGAGGCCAGCCACTGGCAGTGTTCTCGAGGGATGATACTGGAGCCAATACCATTTAACATCTTCATTAATGATCTGCATGGTGGGACAGAGTGCACCCTCAGCAAGTTGACAGATACAAAATTAGAAGGAAAGGCTGATATACCAGAAGGTTTTGTTGCTATTCAGAAGGACCTTGAGAAGCTGGAGAGGTGGGCTGACAGGACTCTCATGAAGCTGAAGAAAGGGAATGCCAAGTCCTGTACCTGGGAAGGGGAAAAACATGTCCCTGAAGAAGCTGGTAACTGACCAGCTGGAAAGTAACTCTGCAAAATGCAACCTGGAGGTTGGGGCGGGGGCAGGCAACAAGTTGACCATGAGTCAGTGGTGTACACTCATGGCAAAGAAGGCCAAGGGCCTCCTGAGCTGAATTGGCAAAGCATTGCCAACAGATCAAGGGAGGTGATCCTTCCTCTCCACTCAGTGAGGCCACATCAAGAGTGCTGTATCTAGTTTGGGGCTTTCCAATGCAAGAGATATGCAGACACACTGGATCAAGTCCAGCGAACGGCCAGTGAGATGACTAAGGGACTAGAGCATCTGACATACAAGGAAAGGCTGAGAGAGGTGGGATTTTTCAGCTGGGAGAAGGCTAAGGGGGATTTCACCTGGGCATAAATACCTGATGAGAGGAAGTAGAAAAGACAAAACCAGTGGTGTCCAGTGGAAGGACAGAAGCAAAGGGTACAAAGTGACAAACAGGAAATTTCCTTTAAACAAAAAAAAACCAAGTGTTTTTACTGTGAAGGTGGTTGTATAGTGGAATGGGCTTACCATAGAGACTGTGGAGTCTCCATCCTTGGAAACATTAAAAATGTGACTTACACTGAGTAACCTGCATTAGTGAACCCTGCTTTGAGCAGGGAGGTTGGACTATCTGATCTCCAGAGGTCCCTCCAACCTCAGCAGTTCTGTGACTGCATTCCTATGGCGTTGCTGCTAGGTGCCTGCCCTGAGCCTCAGCTCTGCCCATGGCAGAGGAAGCAGAAGAGCTGCGTGGTCTCCCCTTCAGTGAACTTAAACTGTCATCAGTTCTAGTGGCACCACTCACACTATACAAAAATTTGATGGCTGAGGACCTCAGTGAATGATTCCTTCTGCTGTCCTTGTTTCAGAGAGAGGAGCCTCTGCGGTGATGGACCAGCAACTCTGCAAATCTCTCCAGACTAACTGATCAAGAGAATTTCTCTCTGCTTTGGACTGACACAAGGAAAACGACTTCATATGCTGATAAAAACCAAGAAGTTCTTTATCCTTTTAGCCAAGCTCTCTTTCAATTGTTGAGATAAGGTGGACTAAACCCAGAGGAATTGTGAATTTTCTTTCATTAGTGGTAAAGTCTAAGTTGTTGTTGGAAACATCAAGGGGATTTAATAGGCTTAGTGACGAGCCTGCTAAATTCCTTCGAAGGCCTGTGAATTTGGCGTCCAGATTTGTGAGAGCAGGGAAGCAGCTGGCACAGCATTAGCAGTCAGCTCGGCAGCCTTTGGAGAACGAAAACCATCTTTTTGTTCAACTTTGCTGGGCAGCTTGCCAACCTGATTTTTGCTCACTGTGTCAACTGTCTCTTAAAAATGTACTCTATGGAACAGCCACAGCTTCAAAACACAGCTTAATAAGCAAGCAGCAACTAGGTGGGAATCATGTTATATCACAACATCTCTTCAACAGGCAGAGGCAGTTAAGCTCCTTTGACTGACATGGTGTCCTAACCACTCGCTGAGTTTTCTTTTGTGGCATCATTGCAAAGGCACAGAGTCCATCCAGTTAAGTTATTTGGCCTCTTTCCTTCTGAAAAGCTCTGTGAGGTGGGACAGAAAGCAAGGGGCAGGAAGGGACACAGAGGGGTAGTACAGAGAAAAGGACCAAGAGGAGAAAAGCCAAATAACAGGAGCAGGTGGATAAGCAGCTGGCAAACAATCTTGGAGCTATAAAATCCCACCTGCTTTATAGGCATTTCTGCCCCGGATGGATTCCAGAGAATAATATGGAAATTCCGTGGACAAAACTCTTGGCAGAACAGGTGGAAGTCTAAGGAAGCAGCTGCAGATACAGGAGCCAGGCAGAAGTGCTGAAACCACCTCCCAAAAGGTCAGTAGTTCTTCTATTTCTGTCCAAAGCAGGGGGATAGCTCCGAGACTTCAAGAAGGGAAAACAGATATTATCATTATCATATATCATCATATATCAGCACAGCGGCAGCGAGAGCAGCAGGAGTGGAGGCTGACCAGCCTCCCCGGCTCTCCAGCCCAGCCCCACTCTCTTTGCAGCTCACTCTTCTGTTCCCTGTCCCCTCTCCCTGGCTGCCTCTTCACCCGCCAACTCCTTCAGTTAATCCACTCCTCCTGCTTAAAATGTGGTTGAATCTGGACCAATTTCACAGTGTGACAGAGGGCCACACGCTGCCAGATTTCACATTCATGCCTAAAAGCACAGGGATACATGAGAGCTCACCTTTCCACCATATATTTTTCCCACAATGTTCTGAGTGTCTGAAGCGTCCTCCCAAACTAGTTTCAGTGTGACCCTGGGTAGTTCTGTTCACGTGGTTGCAAACTGATTCTGACGTTACCAGGTTCTCTGAATAAAGTTGTGTTGATAAATACAAAGTGTCTACACTTAATACTCTCTGAAGAGACATAGGATATTATATTTCCACATCAATTAGTAGTAATATTGAATTATAATCATAGCTGCCATTAGTCTTCCTCCTTCCCTTTAAAAATCCTGTATTTCCATTTGTTATATTGGCTCTGGAGAAGGTGTAGGATACTCGGATTGCCAAAGCTGACCGAGGTTGGAGCAGCTCCCCCTGGGTCTAGCCAGAGACACCCATGGTACAGGAGGTGAGAAAAGAAAGAAATATGAGGGTAAAAGAAGGGAGAGCTCCCAGATACATTTCTTGCTCTGAAACCTGGAATATTTTGCAGTGGAGTGCTCTCTATTTGACCATTCGTGCAATGCTCTGTATTAAACATGCATCATTTGCTACCCCATTAATCACAGTAAATGAAGCAGCAAATAGATGTGATGAATGTATGATGTGTGTCAGCAAACACTGATAAATTTTTCTAAACCAAACTCTGTCTAGCTCCAGAGGAAACTCTCCAAAAGAAAGTCTGCATACTCACAGATCTAAGCAAAATGTGTGTGAGAATCCAGGACTTGGCTGGTATTCCTGCGTCTGGGAATTTGGGTGATTTGTGACGCCTCTGTTTTTTAATTTCAAGTAGCAATGTGAGTTCACTTGTTCTACAGTAAAGAGTGTGCTGGTGGTGTTATTTCTTTTGAATACCCCTTCCATCTGAAATACAACTCGTGTTCCCTTTATAATGGCAAATTACGTTCTTTCTCTCCCTCTGGAGTTTGGAAAATTTGGGATGAGATTGCCAGTGAAATAGGAAGTGATACCCTAAGAACGGTGAAAAAGAGGGAAAAAAATGCCCTTCACTGCCCCTTCCATCATCGGCTATAAGCCATCATCCTTGATTTCAAGATGTATTTCAATATAAACTCTTAGAAAATAGCTTCCCTTCACTGTATTTGTACAGTGCCCAGCCCAATGGCACCTCAGTCTTCACTGCTGGTTCCTCCTACTGCAGTAAAACTGTGTTTGAGCTTTTAAAAAAACACACATTCACATTGATTTTCACATGAGCCATCCACTGCAGTCAGTGGAACATTTCCTCTGCATAAGATAAATCCATGCATAGGTCTTTGTAGGTCTTTGATTTAGGATATTAAAAAATAATTTGGTGTCCAGAAAAATATTTTCTCGACTAAGCCTACTTTTGAGAGCCAGCCCATTTGGGAGTTTCTTTTAAAGAAGCTAAAACACACAGGTGGCCTGCCATTTGCTGTGGATGCATAAAAGGAGAATTACGCAGATACTGAAGGAGAAATGGATGGGTCTGGCAGATGGCATCATGTTTAGGGTTAGCCAAATCCACTCTCAGGCACAGGAGCCCATATGGCCAAGCAGAAACACTTTCTGCCATGAACCCTTTGCATGAAAACCTTTGCAGCATTTCTGTGCTGGGAGTGGATGCATTTCATTCCACAACCTTGCTGTACAAAACAAACTCAACATATTTTGGCAAAGCGTGTTCATTCTCAGGCCCTTCTTGGCCCAGGAACTTTCCTTCCCTCCTTTGAGCCCCTGTCTGTTTCGAGCGCTAATCCCGGCTCCTGTGCACGGTCGGTGTCACGGCTTTGCTGAAGGATGGTTTGCAAAAGGGACTAACGAGCCTCCTGGCAGCTTTCTGCACATGCCCTTCTACAGCCAGCAGGGTCTGCTGGAGGAACTGGGAGAGGAAGGATGCTGGGGGATGTAGCTGCTGCAGGGACTCAGCAAGGAGGAATGTTACTGACATTTGCAAAACACTCAATTGGGTACTTATCTGTACCCAATACAATACTAGTGGTGGCTCTAATGTTTTCCAGTTTGGCATTTCAAAAAAATCTGCTCTAATCAAATTCCTTCCTGTCCTGTGTGTCTCTCCTGCTCCTGGGTACTGCAGAACCACAGCTGGTGCTTGCGGGTGCATTGGCAGCAAGTAGCCTGACTGTGAATAAAGCTCGAGGAGATGGTAGAGAGGGGTTACAAAGCTCTGCTGGGGCAGACCTCACTCTCCCTGACACATCCTTGGGCTGCCCTCACTTGCTGCATTTGGTTAATGACGGCAGATAAACACATGCAGAAAGAGAGCAAAGGGACTGGGTAGAGAAAAGAAGAAAGAAGTAAAAGAAAACAAGTGAAAATGGGAGAAAGTAGTGGGGCAGGAAAGGGAGAGAGGAAGAGGAACTTGGATCAGAGTTAAGTGGAAGAAGTATCAGAAAACAGAGAGGATGATTTAGTAATTAGCTTCAATCTCCCCGTGTCCTTCACATTTCTGGAAACCTGGCATTGCCTCCTTTCTCCTCCCTGGTCTCCCATCCTCCACACAGACCGCTGGAGCCTGTTGCTGGTGGTGCCCACCCCATCCCCAGCTGAAGGAGTCTGGCTCTTGGGCAGACTCTTGGGCTGGGCCTCCGGCAGTCCCGCCTTACCTTCATTATGCCCTGATGTGCACATACTTCCTCTTGTGTTGCCCTAAGCCACTGGGAAAGCCCCTCAGGTTCTTTCAGGAAGGTTCCTCCTCTATCATGAAAATGTTCAAACATTCACATCCTTCCTTTTCTTTCCTGGAAAACATCTCCTCCAAAAAGAAGATTTGCCTTGTGCCCTTGTACATATACTTA